CAAGGTCAAAGGTTCAGTTGGGGGAGGGGGTCGTGGGGAAGAGCTAATAATAGTCAGGGACTGTCAACAGAAAAAGAAATGGGGCTTAGGCCTGCATTACCATCCCTCTGAATATACCCCCCCCCCCTTTTAGTAAAACAAGGAAAGCTAAAAACAAAACAAAACAACCCCATCCCCCAAAGGAAAACCTACCAACAATAGATAGCAATTAAAATTCTACAAAGGAATAGATGCGCTTGTGTGGTCTGCTTCTTTTACTTCAATGTTTCTATAATCCTAAAGGCTGTGTTTAGTTAGTTCCGACGAAATTTAACGGTTAACTTGCGGATGGAGCGATTGAAAAGTGGGTGCGGGGGTGCGAGTAGGGTGAGGAAACTGAAAGTGTGCCTTTTCGTGTCTCAATTAAAACCTACCATCCTCTCTCCATCATTCGTTCCCACACAATCCATTTGCTGTTTAGAATGAATTGAAAATCAATACGGATTTTTTTTTAAAAAGATGATTCATCCCACACTTCATTCATGAAATAAAAGATCATAAACAATAGTGATGGCTGTGAATAACGACTCTCACAAAACAAGTAGGAATAGTATAATATATTCTCCCGCCTAATTTTAAGAGCGGGAGTCACATTTCAACAATGTGATCTTCCTAAAGGCCTACCTGTGATTGGGTCTGTACGTGCGACAGGTGGACAGTTTGAGAAGGTCATCTTCACTCTGGATAGACACGCTGGACACTGTAGACATTTTGGTTGTCCTCTTGATTTCTCTCTCACACTCACCGCACTTTCACGCTATTGTTGCTTTGGGCTTGTTTTTTATGTGTTTTTTTTCCTTCTTTTCTTGAAACCGAACCTATCTGCAAAAGTAGTCGCTGTTAATATATATAATGTTCTTTAATTGGCCGAGTCTGTCTCATTTATTGATGACAGACACCTGGCAGAGTTTACAACTGCGACTACTCTAAAATAAAGTGATGATGCAATACGTTGCGCGCCTCTTGTGTTTTCTGCACCAAATAACGCAACAAGGAATTAATTAGAGTGCAGCTTTTTCGTTACCTCCCTCTTCGTTAAAAGAGTCTCAGCGATTTGGGCATAAAAAATATTACACTTTGTTTTCCATGTATATAGCTGGCTTGTATTTTCAACATTAAAGATCGCACAGAGGAAAAGAAACACGCTTCCCCCAACAGAGAACAATGTTTTTGTTCGTTATAATGTTTCTTTCGCGTGTTTTCTATGGTCACCGATGTATCGCAAGTAATAAACTTCTTCCAAGTGTTAACACGTTATAAAAGCATGTAGATCTATCTGCTATCGCAGTTTAAACGTTCCGATGAGCGAGAACTTTCTGAAGGGGATAATAAGCGCTCGTGGTCTTATTATAGTCCCACAACGGAGTTACAGAATTAACATAAAATATTCACTACGCGGATACACACACCAAAACCATTGAGAAGAATTTATTTTGGTTGTAGGCGTGACCCGACGACCAATCAGAAGCAAGAGCATTGTTGATATTCTCCCGTGACGTAGTCGTCACGTGGTTTGGGATTTCATCATCAGTTTTCCACATGGTACGGTAGGCCTAGGCCGAGCCTACGTGCGCAGGGAAACGAAAGCGTGCACGGGGTGAAGGGAAAACGAGAGAGAGAGAGAGAGAGAGAGAGAGAGAGAGAGAGAGGGAGAGATAGAGAGAGAGAG